ATGCCTTCCTCCTGTTCCTTGAGAAAATTTTATACAAGCAGTTTTCGAGGAGATATCAGCTGAGGTAAATCTCGACTTTAGGAAATCTCAAGTTGAGATGTTTTATACAAGTGGGGCCAGGTGTCATGTCTTGCTGGATACTCTTGGCAGAGTACTTTTGTATTGTAATTTTATAAATTGGCATCTTAAAGAGCCTGTAAGAATCATGCACTTCCCACACATACAAAGTAAAACCATCCTTGAATTATCATATATATTAAAAAGAAAGCAATACAAATGTTCTTGTTGAAGTGTCTCTATGTAAAGAGTTCATTTGTTTAAAAACAACATCAAAGTGATATCAATATGGAAACATAATCATAATTTAAACTAAAATTCTATAAAACTAGGACAAAATATGAACAGAAGAAAAATTAACACGGAGACTCCTGAAAAAGTACAAGGATATTAAGACGACACCTGCCATGTAAACCTTGATCAGTCCAAGTATAGTTTGTCTGTAATTCACAGATTTGAGTTTGAAACTTCCAAACACACTTCTGCTGCATCTTAATAACGTATCGGGTACTATAATTATGTAGACACAGCATTAGTTATCTTGATTTTTTGGCTTCTGTTGGAAAAAATGTGTTCTGTAAGTTCTATATAAGGAGTTTATTTAGGGCGTGTTAAAACTTTTGATTAAATTCAGTTATAATGTATTTTTTCCTTTTGATTTCGTCTATAACATGAATCGATTTGAATGATTTCAGTGTAGTCTTTATTCAAAAGAAAGGCATTCACGTGACTTACACATTGATGGTCGTGAACAAGTAACGTATCAAGCATAACAGGTTTTTTTGATATATAATTTGGATATTACTGTTGTCTTAAATTGATGTCTCTAGAAGAGGGGAATAGGATTGGGATGTACGATATAAGTTATTTGACCTACGTAAACAGTATTGCTTTGGTTGCAAGATATATATAATTTGCGTATTAAATTGACATACCTTCCTGACAAAGAACTTAGCTAACGTATCTCACGTTTCAAAACTAGCTCAGCAAATAAACTAATTCCGCTGACATCTGACGCGTTCTAGCAAAACAATATTGGAATCGTGTGAGAAAGGCCCAACACAATCGATTTGAGTTCTGGGATCTTTATAACCAAACCAACTATTGCAAAATTGCCATTTAGAACATTCGATTGAAAAAAAGTCAGGCATGTTAATTGTGGCGGGGAAATTATCTTTTTAATCCTCAGTGTGAACCAGGAGTATTGGATTTAAATTATACAACAACGACACTGGATACCACCATCAGGAATAATTATCTATGACAGATAAAGATATAAATCAGTTGGTGATCCCAGGCTCATCGCTGGACACCTACCATCATCAAAGGAAATATTTCTAAGGTTAATAGATGTATGGCGGAAAAAACTCAAATGTCTTGCGGTATCTTAAAACGAGAAAACACCGGCATTTCAAATGAAATTTGAATCAAATTCGAAATCAATAAAACGGGACAAAGACGTTGTAAAAGGCAGTTTGTCCTTCGCCAGTAATACTTAGAATCTAAATATTGAAACCTATGAGGCGACTATGAAAAATACAAAGCGATCGTTTAATAATATAATATAATATAAACTATTTATTTCACAACAATTGCGAAACAAGTTATGTCAACTTATACTAATCACTCTTGTTGGCCCGGATGTAAGCACGCGAGGGGTTTTATTGTGGGAGGAAACCGGAGTACCCGGGGAAAATCCACGTGGCCGGGAAGGTGACCCCTTACCTTTTCACGTCCGTTCCAGGAATCGAACCCCGTTACCACTGCGCCACCCGACCACCCGATCGTTTAATTCATTGATCATACTCAAAATTCATCAACCATTTAAGTGAGACCTTATTAGTTGTTATTACCATCGATGTGTGTGGAATCCAATCCTTTTATTTACGATCTGATGTATATTCACATCTATTGATATTTGCATGAACTCTCCAGAGATTTTTTCTTTAATTTGTGACATCGGAATCAGCTTCCAGTCCTGGAATTTCGCTAAATGTCTTCTATGAAACAATATATGAATTACAACAATAAAACAACATTTGAATTCCAAATGTTAATTTTGGTTCCCACACATTAAGGCCAATACAATTAAAATTAACATTCTTTGGATCTTTCTGAAATTTTAATGCTCTTTTATTTTTGGGACCGATAAAAAATTAAATGGTCTACAGGTGTCCATCTTGGATTATGACACTGAAGTCTGGTATTGCTATTTCAATTGAAGCACGTGATGCATTTTGCTAAAATTTCGTCTCTTGGTTCACTGTACCAGATTTAAAAAGCTATTCAAAATGAAGTGAAAATGTATTTTTATTTCCAATGCAGACAGGTCGTGACCCTTAGAATGACATTTTCCAGCTTGTGAAAATCAAATATTGATTGCTTTCTCTCAGACGTTTGTGTTGCAATACAGTTACTTTTAAATTTTCATATTTAGTTTTTTGTTTTTGTTCATTGATGTGACGTGATTGACGTGAATGATTCATCTGATTTTACGAAGTTTTTCAGAAATAGATATAAGTACTGCTATTAATATGATTATTACCTGGCACACTCTGACTCGTTATAGATAGACAGTTACCACGTACTGGTACTGATACTACCCGTTGATAAATAACAAGCATGGTCATGAAGAAAGAGTAGGAGTTGCCTCTCTTGACTTGATAAACCTCAGCTGGATTTCTATAAAGGTTATTTTAAAGTTATGAATTCGTAATTAAAATATGTTGAACGATTTTAAACAGATAATATAATCATTTTTTTATGAAAAAGGAAAAATGCCACTTGTCTTTACTTTGTATTGCCTTCTATTCAGTTTAACGTGGGCGTTTATTTTGGAAGGTGAGATTTAAAAATGCCTGATCGCAATGATTTCTCAACTGCCAGGTAGATTATTATGAGAGGAAGTAATATAAACAATTCAAGATAACACTGTTTCCCTAAAAGGATATACAATGAACATTGGAAACATTGAAGCCAGGACAATCTGATTAACTCTACCACAAATACACTCTCAGAAATATAGGGGATTCATCATCTCATTTCGCCATAACACAAAAAGAGGTGTGATTTAAGAAACGAAATGGTGACGGCTATTTGATTAAAAACATTAAAAATAAGATAAATAAAATAAAATAAAAAAAACAACAACAAATATTTCTACTTTAATCACAGATGACCATTTTTTTCATTAAATTGGATATTTTTTATTGATAATTTCTCACATCTGCCAATCAAACATGACGTTTATGTTACGTAGTTATAGCATTATACAAGGGATAACATAGAGATCTTTGCACCCGTCATTGTTTGATCTTAGCCTGTCCTTTAGAAGTGGGATCCTTCCCAACTTCTTTTCTCATCTCTCTCTCATTTTCGTTTAATCCTATGAAATTTGAGAATTCCATTTAAAAAGTTGCAATAATAAACTCCAACTGCCAAATCAAAGATTGTCGTATGTTACTATTTTATTTTTATGACAATCAAAACATCAAAAGGACACAAGGGACCAAGGGTAACCTACATGTACTGATATAATGATCCATCTAGTACTTCTAAAGAAATAACGATAACAAACGGTCATTGTGATGCTTCACACTGGAAGCCATTTTATTTTCCCGATCAAAGTGGACACCTGTAGGCGCGTCATAATCAAAGTCCACCAGGATTGTCTACCACTTGCAACTTCGAAGATTGAACAAAAGACGCAGTAGTGATTAATAGACTTCAATACAAAACAAGGTTGATAAAATCATTGGGAAGTTTTACGGTTGTCATAGTGGTCTCATTTAGATATTTCTGTTGTTGTTTTTTTTTTCGATTTTAAGCTGAACGTGTTTGATGCGCGCTGTATACCTTGTTCTCATTTGAGAACATGACTTACTTACTTGGACTGACAAGGTTTATATGGCGGGTGTCGTTGATGAAACAGAAGACGCTTACTCTTCTTGAACACCAAAGATATTTCTGTTTTTTTGGTTTTTTTTAAGCTGGACGCGTTTACATGCCTTGTTCTCATTTAAGAACATACCATTAATTACTCAGATTGACCTTGCTTTGCATAAGGTTTGTCGTCTAGGAAGAAGACGGGGACTCTTCCGGAACACCTGGTCTTTTTCTGCTCGTAAATTTCCAGGAGCTTCCATGTAATTCTTTTGTTCATATTTTCCCTTAGTTTTATTGACAACGTGCGGTGAAAAATCGAAATTTCTATGTTGCGTGAAAGTTAGATAGAAGTTTTTATTTTGATTTTGTATTGTTTAACATCCTATCAATATTTTTTCCCACGAATGTCCACAGCAGGACATCCCATTCGTTATCAATATACTGACAACGGGTGAATGCGATGTACTTAGATTTTGATTTCGATTCCATAAAACGAATGTCTGGGCTACATAATCTGCATTCGCAGTGTTTTGTTATTGATTGATTTTGCTATAGAGCATTCTATAAATAACTATGTTTATCATCAGGAAATTGATAACTACGGTTGTGTAACTATCATATACTGTCCAATGAGTTACGTTCAGCGCGTGGCATTTCGTCAGTCAATGTAAGTTTATATGACGTCGATTCGAACTTTTATCTGATAATATCACAGACACGATTATTTACAAGCATTGTCAACTTTCATTGATTTAAAAGGTTACACTTGTCCCAGATATATTTCTTTTTCACAGATATACCGTATATGGAAACAGATTTTGTTCACAACTACAGCGATGTACTTAAAATGATAATGAATCAAACGTATCTAGAAAGATGTGTATCTATGTCTTTATACACAAAAGAAGCTCAATGCGAACTGGAGAGACGATAACACTCATATCAACATGTGTTGAAACATGTGCGTCAAATGATAGGCTCGCTGTACCAGTGATAGTCCTGGATTATGACAGGCAAGGGCACGAGACAATAGTTTACTCTGAAACAGAAGTACTACCATGATAAACAATGAAATGGAGGAGAGAAAACGATTCGGTAAGCTGGTGACAAAAGTAAAGGAAGTGCAAAGCAGTTCTCTATATTACCGGCGCTTGTCATGGCTTCTATTCGGGGCGGAGATGCCTATGTTAACGGGAGGCTGTTTTCTCGATGATGGAAGACTACTTTTAACGGATTATAACAACAAGAAGTTAATTCTGTTTGACGACAATTATAACTATATAAGACACATTCCAGTCGATGGATGGCCGTATGACGTCACCAAAGGTAGCGGACTTGGCGAGTTATACGTTGTGCTATGTAGAAATGTTGTCCTACGTTGTTTCCTTAATCACGAGGACTTAATAATACGAGACAGAATTCGAGTACCAGAAGACGTTAGATGCCTGTCGGTACTAGATAATGTGATATTCACAGGGTCAAGATCAGCTGTGTCGATAATATCATCGGACGGCGTTACCTTGGAGACCATTCCCAAGGCTGGCGGTAACACTTATCTAGCAACGTCAACGCTACAGCGGACGTTCTTTCATAAAGATGGTGACAACATTTTGTGCAGGACGCTTGATGGAAATGAATTGTTTCGGTATGAAGATAGCCACCTTGTTGATCCCAGAGGTATGTGTTTGGATCACGATGGCAATTTGTACGTGTGCGGTTACAAGTCCCACAACCTGATTCAGATCTCTCACGACGGACAGAAGGGCAGGGTAGTGCTGAACAGACTTCACAAAATATCGCGACCAATGGCCATTGTGTTTCACCCGAACAAACAACAGTTTATTGTGACGTCATATGGTGAGGATATAGCTTTTGAGGTATACCAGGTCAGTTGTTTGTGACGTCAGCAAAATACTTCTATTACACAGCAAAATTTATTCCATCTGAAATAATGGAATGTTCTAGAAAACAAACTACTACTCAAGAGAAACCATTTTTTTCATCATCTTATTACGAATATTTACATTTTGCATAAAACATTCAAAAGTCTTGCCTCATTAAAGCATATGGTGAACTATTGAAATACATTTGATAAGTGTAGGAATTAAATCACAGACATCAGGAGGACGTGTTACAAATCACAAGACAAGCAGTGCTGATAATGAGTGTGAGATATTTATCATCGGACGAATACGTCATCCTTGATAACGTTTACTTTCAGACAGCAATTAATAAAGAGCTTTTTTCCCAATATCGCTTAGATATGATTGTGTTCTGTATACCGGGAAATGTTTGCCCTTTTCGTCCATGAACAAGGAAGGTGAGATTAAGATAAGGGCGAAAATTTGTATGTATATAACCATTTATATAATCTTTAGAGGGTGAAATAAAATTGAAGCGAATCCGTGTAAAATGGAACAAGGGTGAAATAACCAGGGGAGGAGAGGACTTAAATAGGCAATGCCTGATGTCCAATTCATTTTGACATTTGTCAATAAAATTTGTTGAAATTGAAATTGAATAACCAGGGGAGAAAATATTCCGATATACAGTGGTAAAAACATACGGATTAAAAAATGATATAAATTTGACTGATATTAAATCACATCATGTGACGAAAGGTCACAAATAACAAAACAGGCTGGGTTGATAATGACCGTGAACTATTTACTATCAGACATAATCGACAGCCATGAAAAATTATATTAAGATAGCAATATATTGTTTACCTATATATTATCTCAACTTTGGTATTTTATAACATTATTGTTTGTAGAAATTGCTAATGAATTTGTCCACAACACTCTAAAGGTATATAGTAAAGCTAGACTTTGTGGCATGATGATAATGTCCTTATCAACGGAAAGGTTATAATATGTGCTGAATATACTCGAAGTATTTGTAACTAAAATGAGGCATCGGGTTTTAAAATACGGAAATCCTGAAATTATTAGCGGAAAACTTTGTTTATTTGATTATGACTAACCTATTTTTGTATTGACAAGAAACTTGAGCAAGATACAATTAGAAAGTGGTGATGATTAAAAATACGGAAAAAATCTGACGACTTTGGAGAGTTTGGGCACAGGTTTTTGCAACACGTAATGATGTAAGTTGTACACGCAATTTTCTAAAAGTCTTAGAAATCACAGTAACATCGAGGTTGACAAATTTTTCAGCTAAACATCGATAGTAAGTTCAGTGAAGTATAAACAAAATTCGAACTGACTGTGTCTACGTGCAAAAAAAATAGTTTTTTTTTTCTTTTTTAAAGGGTTTTCTCACCATACAGTAAAGTATTGTTTGTTTATATCGTGTTTTTCTTAGTCTTTTGTCGGTTTTTGTGGCTCTAAGTTTTTTGACTGGTACAAGAAACTTCCACACTCTCCAAATTGTAAATAAGACACTGGTTTACGACGTAATTGCAACATTTCAAAAGCAATATTCAATATGGCCGCCAAGACATCATAGGTTAAAATCTAAAACAAAACTTAACTCAAAACCAACATTGATGCACTGACATTATTTGTGGATAAACCTACTGTTTATAACAAAAATAAATAAGTAAATAAATAAAAATCGTCGCTCTTGAGTTTAAGGTAATTACTTTTTTTAATTTTCCTTTTTTTGTTTAAAATGAAGGTACTGAAAGATGCATAGAGAATGTGTTGTCTTCAGTTTTTCTATTCTGTTCACCGTTTCGAGTGTACGCATTTAATTTTAAAAAAAAATTGCTTTGATTTATGTTTAATAGTAGCATTTGTCATAAATAAGCGTTATTTAATAACTATGAAAAATCATTTTAAAATGATATGTTTGTAGCTTCAAAAAACAACCAAAAAAACAAAAACAAACAAACAAACAAAACATTTACCGTGAATTTGTATTTTTGTGTCAAAGGTCAAAATTTGTTAGCTTTCAAATTCAAATTCAGAAGTGCTGGTATAAGGAAACAAAATAAAAGAATCATCTATATGGTCTAGAGGCTTGATTTTTATCACAAACGATACCCTAGGCATTGGATTCCAAGTTTGTTAGTATGGATGACCTTGATTAACGGGTCACGGGTAAATGTTGTTGAAAATTAAATGTTTTCTCAATATACTGAAAACAATGAGTGATAAAGTTCTGGTTTAGAAGCATACTACCATGAAATTCTGTTGATAGTATTTTAAAAAGTTTGTAAAGTTTCAACTTCGTTTTTTAGGAGGGGCAAAATTCAAAAATTCAATGTCTGATAAAAATCTTGAAAATCTATCAGGTTTGGCAATATGAATGGCCTCAATCTACTTACAATGTCTTGCGTTTTAGAAACTGAAATGGTCTAATCTCATTTACCAAGAGGCACAGGGTGTTGATATTTGGTCAGTGACATATTGAGATCAACTGTGATCGATAGTAAAAAGAATAATTTGTGTAAATTTTTGATATTTGGTGGATTGCATACAACTATCAATTGTTGTTCATAGCATTAGAGGAAAATGTGTAAAGTTTTAAATTTCGGTTTTCTTTTGGTCGGGGTCAAACTTCAAAAGCGCTTTTTTGGGTAACAACTTTGAAAACGTCTTCTCAAATTCTACAAGGTCTAGTCTTGACTTTGCTTATTCAAATTACCCTTGTAACTGCAATCTTGTTACAAAGATGCCAAGGAAACTGACTATCAAGTTAAGATAAGATGACCTTAACCCACTTCCTTATTGCAGGTGTCAAATGTGTTAAAACATTTAAATTGCTTCTCAGTAACCAAGAGACAGAAGGTGATGATATATGATTTGTAGCACACTATAAGCAATTGCTATGGATAGGAATACCATAAAATGAAAAAAAAACTTCCAGTTTTTGGTAAGGTGGTATTCAGCTCAAACTTGCTTGCAATGATCATGAGATAGCCCTGACCAAGCATTATTTTTCAGGTCGGTCTGAAATCCAAGATGACCGCCATTTCGAAAAACACATTTGAATTTCTTTTCCATTTTGACAGGAATTATTGAGCCGGAAATTGGTTGATGTTGAGGATCAATGCGACATTATAAGTCAATATATAATCCGTCAAAGTTCCTTTTATTTATCACTGTGTACCTTGCTATAATTTTAGAACACGACATTACTTACTATGATTGACCGATGAAGCTCACTCTTCCGGAGCACCTGGTCTTATTCTCCTTGTCCTTTTTTCAAGAATTTTTGTGTAAATTTTTCTTTCGTTCGTATTATATCTTAGTTTAAATGAATCCGAGTTTGCATTATGATGTTATGTTCCTTTTTACTTGTTGTTTTCATTATTTAAATAATTAGTTTCACAAAAACCCTGAAACAAACAGGATGTCTTTATTGTGGAGGTCATGAAATTGACATTTGTTTATTGTATTAATTTCATTTAAAAGTCATCTAAATTTAATTTGAGTAAAACTTCGAATAAATGTCGAAAGATAAAACCCTATTAGATAATAACCTATGCTGAACATCACTTCAGCAGAAATACAAGGTCTAAAATATAGATTAGAAAAAAATATGTACCCGATGATCTATAAAAAAATCAGCGATGACCAGGAAGGAAATGTAGGTCACATGAACAGTCAACATAGTTTAAATTTAAAGATATAACCTGACAAGTGCTTGCTCACATTGAAGATAAGAATAATCAATATCAGTAAACAGATGCTATGAAGTAGAGGCTTAAATTTGTTAACACCTCAATATGTTTATCAATTGCCTAGACAAGGGAGGTCTAGATACTATCAGTGGAAAGGATATAGACACTTTAGTGTAACTTTAACCCGCCTGCTACCTGTGTAACCAATCACCATGTGCTTCACGGCTATTTCATTGGCACAATTATGATATAAACATCGATATTTTTCTGCACCAAATCAAGAATTCGTGCGTAAATTATTGAATTCTAAGTCTGTGTTTCCCTTGGTATCGTGTTGTCTATTATCTCCTGTGACAGTGGTACCCTGTGTAACGCGGTCGACATTTTTAACGCTGTGACGAAGTCGTCATGTAGTATGAAAAACGTCGCAGTCCTTCACAATCAAATACATGTGCTTGTTAGTGATACGTCGAATAACACCGTAAATACACAATCATATACAATAGGTATTTATTTCTATTGATTTTTGCATGTCAGCTGCCTAGCACGTCCTTGCGTTTGTTTACATGTTACACTTACACTGGTCGTGCTACAGAGCCGGTCAAGTGTGACGGGTCCTGTCTGCATACAAGTATTTGCCACATATATGCGATGCACGTGCGAGTTAGTGCGAGTGTCATTAAGGTAATACATATTGCAATTTGATGGTCAATGGTTTACATGGCGGGTGTCGTTGAAGCAGAAGACGCTTACTGTTTCGGAACAACGGGTTTTATTCTGCTTGTACTTTTTCATGAACCTCCGTTCAAATCCTTCTTTGGTCATAGTTTGTCTTAGTTTTATGGAATTTGAGTTAGGATTATGACTATGTTGACATGGTGGTATTTTCTTATTGTTTATTGACATAATACACAGCTGTAGTAAATCCCTGGGGAATCGCTTGGCGTTAAAGGCGCAAACTTTTAAATACTCATTATTGAGAAACCACTGAAGTGAACTATGAACTTAACCCTGAAGTATCTCTGCGAACTTCTAGATATTATAGGAACTTAACAGCGAAGAATTCTTGAATTTATATCAGATAAAGTCCAAAGTTCGCACTGTTCCAGGCGTTTCCTTGTGAGCTTAAAAACTTGTGCATTTCTCTTTGTGAAAGGTAAAATATGATGCCTTAATATATTGTATCAGTTGAGGGAAAAAAAAGAAAGATAAAATCTCGCATGCAAGGTTTTGCCGAGTTTTTATCACACATTATATAGTAAGCATGTCCAATAGGGAAATATTACTTGTAATAGAGGGAAGGGAGAC